AGGATTTCAGATGTATACAAGCCATACAATAGAGGGGACAGGGTTGCTCCCTGCATTGTTCCCCTGTTAACATATTTAGGTCCATGTAGGATATTATTATACTTAACATAAACAGTTCTGTTTTTTAAAAAATTAAAAATCCAGTTTAATATTTTGCAGGGGAAATTTAAATTATGTAGCACATGAATTAAGGATTCTATATTTACATTATCGAAAGCACCTTTAACATCTAAAAATACACACACAACATTGGAATGACTTAATTTTGCTTTTTTTAATAGGGATATAAGAGTTACAAAGCTTTCAGAACAACTTTTGCCTTTTCTGAATCCAAACTGAATATCTGGCAACTTATTCTGTGTTTCAGTAAAGTAGTCCAAACGTAATTTTAACATGTTTTCAAATAGTTTGCCTAGACACGATGACAAGGAAATGGGCCTATATGATGATGCACAGTTAATATCCTTATTTGGTTTCAAAATTGGAATAACACACTGGGTTTTCCAGGATTCCGGTATTATTAAATTCTCCCAAAGTTTATTGTATATATCTAATAGTATTTTAATTGCATTTGGATGTAGCTGTTTTATTAATTTATATGTAATATTGTCCAAACCTGGTGTTGTATCTTTCCTACTCTTAAGCGAAATATGAAGCTCGGCCAGTGTAAAGGGTCTGTTGAGAAAGGAGTCACTGTCATTTTTATCAGATTGATTCAATATATCAACTAAATTTGCATCATTGCATTGTGATGGAGCTGTCAACATATCTAAGAAACTTTGTACCCAGTCATCATTAAAATTTTTGTTGGAAGATGTACCTATCCTTTTAAACTTTTTAATGGAACTCCATATTTTTGAAATAGGTGTCATTCTATTGAAGCTACTACACAACTCTTGCCAGGAATCTATGCGTTGTTCCTTTAGAATTCTTTTTTTTTTAGCATCAACTTTTTTATAATTTATGAAGTTAACAATTGTTGGGGTAACTCTATATTGTAAAAGGGCTCTCTTAGACTGTTGAACAGCATCATCACATGTTTTGTTCCACCAAGGCACTGGTTTTCTTAAAGTGTGTATAGTTTGTTTAAACTTTGATTTTGGTACTGTCTTGTCTCTGATGTCATATAAAATATTAACAAAATTATTATAAAATTGTAATGGTGTGTCATTATTTACATTATTATGTACATTTAAGTGGGAAAAAATACTTTCTGATAAAGAAAAATATTTCGACCAGTCTGCTTTATTATATAAAAATTTTTCTTCTACAGGTCGGACCTCATACACTGATGGCCTCACATTTACACTTACCTGAGTTGGATAGTGATAGCTGCCCATCGGGTCATCATGGACTTTCCACTCACAGAGAGGAGCTATTCGGGGACTAACTAATGTTATATCTATTGCTGATGCCTGCCTGTTTGGTGATTGAATGGTGGTTGGACTACCATCATTTAACACACATAAGTCAAGTTCATCTATGAGATTGTATATGTTATTACCTCTACTATTGTTTGTATGACAACCAAACAAAATATGATGTGCATTAAAATCACCCATAATGAGACATGGCTTAGGAGCACTAAGTAGAACTTTTTTCAGTTTGTTGGTATCAAATCTTCCATTAGGAGGACAATACACACATAGTATGTTTAATTTGCCTATGGATGTTTCTATTGCAATACATATATTCTGAACTGATTCATAAAAAGTAGTAGTTATGATATTATATTTAAAATTTTCTTTTATTAAAATACCCACTCCATTGTGTGTATTTACTGAGTTTTTGAATATGAAATTATAGGATGTAAATTTAGGAATTTTACTGTTACTTTTAAGCCATGTCTCATTAATGAGACAGATATCAATATTTTGTTCATTCATGTATTTTTGCAACAGAGCTTTTTTACTCTGTAAGCTTTGTATATTAAACTGGGCTATATTTTAGTATGTATTCATTAAATTAAATTTGACAACAATATTTCTTTTATTGTCTTATTAGTTATTGACATTTTCTCTTTGTTGTTACCGAGAGCAACAAGAGATTTAACTAATGCATTAATTATAATTTCATTATTTACAATTTGATCTGCATTGAATGCAGTATTATTATTATTTACATTTTGTTTAAATTGTGAATTATATACATTTAAAGATTTCTCTAAAGTGGGATATACTTTTGGGGTTGTACTACTTGAGGGCATACACAACAGCGGCATAGGAGTGATTGACATATTTACTTCTTTTTTCTTCAATTTTCTTCTTTTTAACGGGACAATCTCTCGAAATTGCTAAGTGGTTACCACTACAATTGATACAAACGATTTCTTCTACATCACATTCTTTGTATGAGTGTTGACCAGCACATGATGAGCACATCTGTGAGCTACGGCATACTTTAGCTGAATGGTTAAACTTCAGACATTTGTAACATTGGACTAATGGTGGAATATAAGTGTGTACAGGATATCTAAATAATTGTATGTAGGCATATTGTGGTAAAGTGGTAGCTGCAAATGTGACGGCTACAGTGCCCAATGGAGATAGTTTTCCCTCTACTTTTTTCATAAAACGTTTGATGGATATCACTTCGGTATCACAACTAATACTTTTATAAATATCTTCGTTGGACATGTCTGTCGGTACGTATCTTATGATACCAGTTTTTTCTGTGATATATGCTGGTACAAAAGCCTTGAATTTATACTTGTTTAAAAAATTGTCCATTTTTAAAAAATTATTGGCTGGTGCGGGCTTTCGAAAGGTCACACCTATTTTATAGGCGTTTACTCTGTGTACACCTGCAATGCCTTTCACATTTTCGGTGAATAACTTTGTTAAAGTAATGGGGTTTTTATTCCCTACTTTTTCATTTTCTGTAGATTCTACATAGACAACACAATCTACACTATGATTTTCAGGAAACTGTCTTTTGTAATTGGGTTTTGTATACATTTTATAGTCCTCGGATATAATTAAATGATTCGGCGACATCTTCCGTTTTTTGCCGCGTTGACTTTTTCCACGGTCGACGGGGTTTCCCCCGTCGCTACTATCACTCATTTTCTTTGCTTGATTTATTATTTAGGTATTTACAATAAGATATACAATATTTACAATAAAATTACAATTAAAATAAAAAAAAATCAAAAAGGAGAAAATTTAAAACACCCGCTCAATTTGACTTCCCGCCAAAAAAGTCCCTCTAAACAGGTAACATTCCGTGTTGCCAACACGACTACAAAAAAAATATGCTAAATTGTTCTTAATATTATGCCAAAATTATGCTAAATGTCATAAAATTATGCTAAAATTTTGTCACAATGTCAATATGTCATTTAATTGTAATTCTTTAATAATCAACAAAATCTAGACTTTTATGTTTTAATCAACTATGTTTTTGAATAAGATATCAATATCTTGGTCTTCATTTTGGACGGATGGTGTTGCTGATGTAGATCTGGAAGCTTGATTGTCGAAACTGTAACTCTTTATGTTACCTATAGATCGCAGAACTTCATCCGGAATGGTGTAAGAATAGCAAAGGCCTTCTTTAGACCGAATCTGATGCACAAAATGGCATTTAAATTTTATTGATAAACGGTTGCGAAGTTTGTTTTTAACTATATTCATTTGACTAAAATCTCGTTTAATTTCTGCATTGGAATGTGGTAGTGACAGTAACGATATTACTAAATCTGCAAAGGTGTTATTATTAGAATCGTTTTATTTCATGATCAAAATATGCTAAAAAATATGTTATATGCTAAACGACAAATAAATATGCTAAATATCGTATATGCTAAATTTAGCATAAAATATGCCAAATTGGCCACACTGGTAACATTAATATGTGATATTTGTGAGATAAATCGCTATTGTGTTTATGGTCATTAATATATTATATTTTGTTTATTTCGAAGACTAGACTGAGGGATGTAAATGACATTATTTTTTTATTAATCCAAATTTCAAATGTTACTAGCTGCAGCGATATAGTGCTGTACTTACGGTACAGAATTGTTCAATCGTATTTATTTATTTAAAAATATAGTATAAACGTTTAGTTTAAAGTTTTATACGAAGTTTACAGAACATATTTCCACAATATTCGTACGTACACTATTGTTCCATTACTGTGTTTGAATTAAACAGTACAAAAATATTTTTTTGTAGTTCCCCAATTATTTTTATTTTTACGATAAAAAGTAACAGGTACAATCCAACTATTTTTTATTCTTTCAAGCAGATAAATATTTTAAACATAATATAATAATAATAATAATTTCAGGTCAAATACACAGTGCCATCTAGAACCAAGTTAAGTTAGCTAGAGCTTCGGTTATGGGTACCAGAGAACTAATACAAATATACAGATATATTATTTTTGTAAATACATACATTATACATAGAAACCACCCAGATACAAACAATCATACTCATGAATAGAAATGTTTGTGCCGTCCGAGGAATAGAATCCATTGGAAATAAGGCGATGTGTTAAACCGCTAGACCACCGCGGCCGTGAAACATATGTGTTTTATGAAATGTCACCATACGAGGTTATTTTATAAAAATAATAGTTATAATATGGTATATATAATATAATTCTGTTTTAGTCAACATGTCAATAAAAAAATATTGTGATAAAGCCTTATAATTATTTAGGGGAGTAAATGTTATAAATCTTTTTGTTACGAATTTCGATAAATATAATAAAATGACATGAATATGTTCATGTCGTGATTGTTCTAACGTTCAAAAATTCATTAATTTTGTGTTAATGAGTTTTGAATAAACACGACTTTGACAGCACCCAACACTATTTAAGAATCTCAATATGTTCCAATACTGTGAAGAAATTGTGATTGTTTTTAAGTTTTTGTCCTTTATATCGTAAAACTTTACTTTTTGTTGGGCTAAAAAGACTTATATCCAGAGCCGTAAAATATTAAATAAATAAAAAAAATGTCAATATGATGGCAACATAGCTAGGTACCATAGGTAATGTCAAATTTGTCTAACAGATAAAAAAATATTTATTCCGGGATAAAAAATGAAAATCATACAGAGTTGGTGTCAAAAGCTTAATTTTATAAAATCTCCCAATATACAAAGTAGATTTATAACCTATAAACAAGGGCAGGAACCCGTACCAAATATTAGAGAATATTTCTATTACATCGACCATCAAGGAATGGTAAGATGAAGCTGGATGTATTCTCGATTTTCCATTGACATAGTAGGCTCCAGTATTTATCATAGTACATTATTTAACTAAACTATTTGTTTTATTGTTAATTAACTAGAAATAGTAATTTTATCAGGAATTTTTAGAAACCTTAGTAAGCGGATTTGTTGGGGAATTGTTTTGGAAATTACGTCAAGAGAATTTAGTATCTATACATTGTAACAGGCAATACATACAATATCTGTACATTAGATATTGAGAAAAAAAATAATATGCAGATGTTTGTTAGACCAAAGTATGAAACAAATAATATAATTTATAAAATATGTAATGATCAATGTCATTTTTTATAAATTATTCCCTTGGATGTGTCAACATTAACCCATTGTAGATGATTGGGCCATAAATAGATTGTGCCGGCAACATGTCTCAGTATATGCCGGGCCTTTTCAACTCATCTTGACTTGCTGCAGCTGGGGATGAGGATTAACTTTTGGACTATGCAACCCATCAATGTCTATACATTGAAAGAGTGGTTGAAAGCCTATCAGAACATAACCCTTCTTCTTTACAGTGTGTAATATGTTCAGATTGACTTAATGGATCATGACTTCAAGGACAACTCTGGAGAAATTTGTCTGAAGCATTACTTATACTTATTATAGCTGACGCCATAGGCCTTGTGCTCTCCTTAGGGCCTAGTACTGCTTCAAATACAGGCTCTCAGATTCGCACCTGAAATGGAATTTACTCAGCATGTGGGATGGGTGTGATTCTATTGCTCTAAGGCAACCCACTCATCTACTTATCTTGTTCTTTAAATCTCTAATTGTCAGTAGTGGCATAAAATGATCTAATATTTTCTTACCCTTGCATATGAAAAAAAAAAAAAAATAATAATGGCATATTTTTCTAATATCCCTAACCCACATTCATTTATGTCGTGATAACTTGTTTTTTTCTGTTTTTGTTGCTTTGTTTACTTATTTATTTTTTCTAGTTATTTTTGGATGATTCTAAAATGAAAAATTTTACTTCATGTTACAAAGAAAAGAAATTTTTGGAGTTTTTCTTCAAGAGAGTTAAATTAAATACTACTGGAAGATATGAAGATGAGTTTCCTTTTGTGTCATTATGTGGAAGGGAGAGAAATTATATTAGATGTGATGATGTCCCAATAGTTTATACCCATTTGATTAATAACAGTAGTGGCATATATTTTTTAACATATGGTTATGCTGGAGATTTACTGAAAACACAATTTCTACCCGAAAAAATATATATGTCAAATACAGGCAGAATCTATCATCCTGCAGATGATAAATATGGAGGAATTGGATTGATACGATCGAAACTGGCAATAGAGCTTAGTAAACATTTTAAGTTTAACAATGGGAATAATCTATCACCTACACATTTTATCTGGAATAATGAAACATATGAACTAGACAAGAATTGGTTTTCTGACAAAATTGAAAAGTTTAATGTGAAAATAAAAACAGATCCTGATTAACAATTCCTATGTACTTAAAAAAATAATAAGATAGGTCTAGATAATTATTCATATTATGTTGTATATTATTTGTTAGTAATTTTATTAAGACAATATAAATTACAATATCAATCATTTAGAATGTTATTTGTTATGAAAATAAAATCATGAAAAATATTATTTTGAATTATTATTATCACAGATACCTTATATGGCAAAATAAATAAATATTATATCCATTAATACTACTTGCTCATGTTGTTTCCTCTTTAGAAAAAGGTTGGTATGACCCTGGCTGTACCCAAGATATTCCTTGTGAAAGTCCTTCATTTGGTTTCGGTGGTCTGAGCATTACATTTTTGGCAGTGTCATGAACCTCTGGATCATATGGTTTAAAAGTTATGTAATGTTTGTCATCTATAGGGGGATCATCATAAATGTGATCAATACTTGATGCTACACATTCTTTCACTTTGTCTATAAATGCTTTTCTGTTAGTTTTGTATCTGTAAAAGAAAATGCATGGTTAAGCCTAAATTTATATATTCCTCAAGAGACATTAAAAAATAAATATGGTAGTATTTTTATTATTATACATAAACACAGTCATAAGGCTTCACATTACTAAAGTTGTTCTTAACCTGTTCATATTTAGCTTCCAGTGTGTCTATTTAGTGTTTAAGTAACAAAAAAAAAAAAAAAATTGACATTTAGAAAAACCTGAGCACACAAATATAATAAAGAAAAGCAGTAGTTGATATAATGTAAGTTGTTGTTTCTGATGACATTCTTATAATTAATATAATATTCTATAGTGTATAATATGAATGTGGATGGATGTAAAGGGAGACAACACCCTAAAAAAAGATGGATGGATTGTGTGAAAGATGATATGAATAAAAGAAGTCTTAGATACCAATATACCGATGACCGATAGAGAGCAGTAGAAGAGAATGACATACTGCGCAGACCCCAAATAATGGGATACAGGACAGGCAATGATATTATTCTATATTGATTAATGCTTTTGGTAAATCAGCTATTGCAAGTAGTAAATACTAATGTATGTTTTTGTACAATTCAGAAAACTAGTAGCATTAAATTCTCTAGAATATTGTTAGAGAGCATTAGTTTCTGTTACCCTCCTTCATATACTTGAGGTGTTGCATAACTACAATGTTAGTATTTAGACTACCATAAATAGGATTGAACTTACACAACTGAAGCTTCTACATTTGCTGGCACTTTAATATTCAAGTTATGAAATATCCAGTATATGTATTTTAAAAGCTGCCAAACATGGTTGCGCTTCCTGTCCCATTGTGGAAAAACTTCATTTAAATGTAGAATTCCAGTATTAGGCTCCACAGCTGGATGATACAGGTTTGATACAAATGTTACAACCTATGGATACAAATTAATATAAGGCTTGTGAATATTACATACGATAAACAATAATGATAATTATTTTAATTGTCAACTAACAGGAAGATCATCATCTGGAAACTTATCTGGTAAAGCCAATGTAAATCTAAAAACACCTCCTTCATAATGGCCAGTTCTAACAAAGATTACACCGAACCATACTGAAAATAGAATGGTTAATTTGAAAATATGTGCATAATAAATTGTTTTAGAACGAAAAATGAGACAAGTAATTTCGCAATATTACTTACTGAGTGAGTTTTCATATGAAGGTATAACGTAAATACCTTGCAAGTTTTCAGTTTGGAGCATACGACTGAAATAAAATCAGTAATTATTATGTTATTATGAAATTATGACCTACCGTTAATTTAAACAACTTAAAATACACCAAAGTTTTGAGAGATTTACTTTCAAACAATTACTTACTACTCTGCCATTATAGTATATTCTTGGTGGAACATAGAATACAACTGTCTCATTTCTTTAACGTTGCTATTTAATTCTTCACTCATTTTATATTTTATTTAAATAATGACACACTTCTTCTTAAATCTACCAGAATGAAAAGAAAATGTATACAAATAAATAATAATGAAATATTATTTATAGAAACAAGACAGTAGTTTTTTTTTTTTTTTTCCATATTCGTCCATCTCCTTTTCAGTGATGGAACAGGCAAAGATCCTTAGACCGTACAGCCTAGTCTACTTTTAAACTTCTTCATATTTGAACAAGTGATGAGGCCAAAGGCCAATTCTTATGTATATTTATTTATTATGTTTTCATTCGTGTTCAAAATTTAAGTCTTATCCGTAGTCCATATCCTTGTATCAATTATTTAAAGTTTCATCGATATCGAGGTAACGTATAAATATATAGGTATATATGTTTCAAAATTAGTTAGCATGTCTTGGATGTCGCGCGGGATTTTTTCCGGTTTCTTGTAAATGTTCAGTAAATTATCAATAAAGACCAAGCGTTGAATATTATAAGCAGAACATTCGAAAAATATGTGATTTAGGGTCTGACTGCTGTTATTGCACTCTTGACATGCATTTGAATCAATTATTTTCATTCGGCACAAATGACTATTGAATCTAGCGTGACCAAAACGAAGTCGTATAAGGAGTGTGTAAAATTTCCGGTTTTTATAAACTCTAGATTTAGTGAACCAGGGTGAGGAATGAATATTTTTGTTAATGGAGTAAAACCAATTACCCTTGGTCTTTAGCGAAAGTTGCCACTGTTCAATCCATTTTTGACGAAAACTCTTGTAAACTATAGAAAGAATGTCGGAATAAGGTATGGCAACATCCTTGACAACGCCAATGTCATTGTTGGTGATAGTTCTTGCCAGGAAATCTGCGTTTTCATTACCGAAAACACCAATATGTGATGGTGTCCATAATAAAATAATATCATAACACTCCAATGAGAGCTCATATAATATTTGCTTAATGCTATCTATGATATAATTAGTTTTATAATGTAGTTTGTTACTTTGAAGAGCAGTTAAAACACTCATACTGTCTGTGACAATTAACCATTTTTTGCAATTGCCCCTATCATCTTTTATATAACAAAGTGCATTTAAAATAGCCAAAGATTCTGCTGAAAAAATACTAAATTCTTTATGTATTCTAGTTCCATGACCGGTTCTGATACTTGGTAAGTATAGAGCAAAGGATGTTCTCGATTCGTTTTTAGAACCGTCTGTAAATATGGATTGATGAGTTGAAAATGTAGACAACTTGTTATAAACTTCTTGTTTGGTCCTTAACTCAGAGTCAATTACAATATTAATATTTGGAAATTTACTTTCAAATGGTCCATGGTAACAATTCCAAAATCTATTGCTTTTGTGAATTTTGTATTGCTGATCAATATTGATTGAGTCAGAGAAATCATGAAGTATATAGGGAACTGTTTTAGAATTAGAAAGGGGAAATAAAGAAGTAATATGTTTGAGCTTTTGTAAGAGTGGGTCTTCAGAAAAGGATAATAATTTTAGGATGAATCTTTGTTTTAAGTACCAGAATCTCAGGTTTAATGGTGGTATACAGCACTCTACTTGTAAGGAATTTATAGGGGTTGTTTTCATTGCACCAGTTATGTATCTTAAATTATTATTCTGAAGTACTTCAAGTTTATGAAGCTTGTTTTGGTCAGAACCAAAACATAGATAGCCATATTCAAAGTGGCTGCGAATCAAGGATTTGTACAGCATTAAAAGGATCTTAGGATCACATTTATATAGAGCTTTGATAATATTAAATGCTTTGGAAGCTTTACCTAGTAAATAATCAACATATTTGTTCCAAGACAAATTGCTACAAAAAATAACACCTAAAAATTTAACTTCAGCAGTAATAGGTAGTTGTGAATTATTATATAATATTTTAATGTTTTTGTATGATTTATTAGTTTTAGAAAATATTACTACTTTAGATTTGTCAGGGCTTACATCTAAATTGAGGTATTTAAAGTAATCTGTTAATCTTAACAATGCATTACTTATTATTTCTGTAACTTTATTAATGTCTGGGCCTGAAAAGTATATAACAAGGTCATCTGCAAATTGAAGATTCCTGACATGTGGTCCTAAAATTAAATTAAGTTTGTGTATGTAGAGGATAAAGAGTAATGGACTAAGTATTCCACCTTGACACACACCTTTATAAGAAAGACGAGGTCCTATTAACTGCTTGTTAACTTTAACAAAAACTTCTCTACCATTTAAAAAGTTATAGACCCAGTTTATAATTTTTCCAGGTATACCAATAGAAACAAGTTCCAGAGTGAGAATGTGATGATTGACATTATTGAATGCACCGATAATATCAAAGAATACCCCAATCAAAACTTCATTGCATTTAAGTGCTTTAAATATATCAATATGAAGATGAGTAACACTCTCAGAGGCAGATTTACCTCTACGAAAACCAAACTGATTTGCTGGTAATAAACAATTACTCTCTATGTAGAATTCTAGTCTTTGTTTTAATAATTGCTCAAATATTTTTCCCATGCAGGAGGTCAGAGTTATAGGTCTATAGGAATCTATATCATTTGCATTTTTGTTTGGTTTTAAAATTGGAATAATACAATCTTTTTTCCAATCGGAAGGAATAAGTGAATCTTTCCACAGTGCATTATAAATACATAAAACAATATTTTTAGAGTTATAAGAGAGGTTTTTTAATAATTTATATGCTATGCCATCGAGACCAAATGCTGTATCTCTTCGGGTAGATATGGCTGCATTAAATTCATAGAAAGTGAAGGGTTTATTTAAATAATTTAATTTGTTACTATTTTCATTAATGTGTGATTTAAATTGGGTCTCGACAGTGTCAGGTGTCCAGTTATTATTATTTGAAATCTGACTATATACATAAGTTTTATTGAATTTTTTAACAGTATTCCAAATTTTGGAAATGGGTGTGGTGCGATTAAAATTTTCACAAAACTTATTCCAGCTAATTGATTGTTCTTTTTTAAGTATTAATTTTTTTTTGGCTTGTAACCTTTTAAAAGCAATATAATTTGCCTCTGATGGGTCGTTTTTAAAATTAACATATGCCTGTTTAGAGTTATCTACTGCAAGAGTACATTTTTGATTCCACCAAGGTAATGGAATCCTTTTATTTTTAAAAGGAATATCATTTGTAGAGCTTATGGGTTTTGATTTTGGTATACAACATTTGTCTATAGCTAAATTTAAAATATCAATTAATTTAGAATAACACTGCAGGGGTGAATTACTATAAGTGTAAAGTGTAAAATCTTGTAACAAACTATCTGTGGTCTTCTTATACACAGTCCAATCTATAAGATTGTAATTATGAAATTTGGGATAATCTAAGGATTCTGGTAATCTAGAGCAATTGTTATTAATTACTATTTTTGTTATTACAGGTAAATGGTAGCTACCTAAGGGATCATTATGTACTATCCAATGTGAAGCAAGAGATATGCAAGGGGATGCAATAGTAAGGTCAAGCGCATTACTCTGCCATCTGTGTGATCCTACTGTAGTCGGTGTACCATCATTTAAGAGGACCAAGTTGTTACCATCAATACATTCAAGAATGTCACGACCGCGAGCATTAATAGACGAGCAACCCCATGCTGTGTGATGAGCATTAAAATCACCAGCAACCAACATGGGCTCTGGAATACTATTAAGAAGATTACTGAATTTATTTTTGTTAAAACGTGGACTACAATTATTTGGGCTATAAAAACTAACAACTGACATTTCTGTGTTTTTATATTTTAATCGTACCGCAATATTCTGTAAGGAATCATCACTATATGTATCAATTTTACTGAATTCTATACTTTTATGAACTAAAATTGCAACGCCGTTGTGGTCATTGCCTGAGTCTAATCTAACAATGTTAAAGCCTTTAATATTTAATTTATAGTAGGCTTTTAGCCAGGTTTCTGATATCAGAGCAATATGAATATTGTTCTCCAATAGAAAATGTGTAAAGATTTGTTGATTACTTACTAAACTTTGTGCATTCCACTGGACTATTACTATATGGTCCATAAAGAAATAAAAAATTAAAGAAAGAAAGATTAATCTGGATTTTTTTTATTCTGTAATGTCTCTAGGAGAACTTGTTTTATATTTTCTGTACATATTGTTTTGTCATTGGTTCTATTCAATGTTATAATTTTAACAATTGATTCTAATAGGGTATTTAAAATTTGGTCAGAATTAAGTAGGGATATAAATTGTGCCGAAGGTGAAGTTTTGGTACTGCCTAATTGAGGAAATGATTTCTCTCTAACAATATCAGCATAACTTTGTACTTTATTTTTATTCTCCTCTATTTTCTTTTTCTTAATAGGACACTGTGATGAAATGGCTATATGATTACCATTGCAGTGACAACATTTGGCTTCGTTAATATTTGCCGAACAGTTTCTGAAATTATGATTATTTCCGCATACTGAGCATCTTTCAGCGTTCTTACAAAACTTAGCGATGTGACCATACCTTAAACATTTAAGACACTGCTTTACAGGAGGTATGTAAGGCCTCACCACAAAGCGCCAGCTATTCAGGTCGACGGTGTCAGGAAGTACAGGACAGGAAAATGTGATGGAGACGGTTTTAGTTGGCTGCATTGTAAAGGTGTTATCATCACCTTTAATACGCCTCATGAATCTGCGTACACAAACAATATTTTTTGAGCTGGTTATATTAGAGTATATTTGTTCGTTCGATAGATGCGTAGGAACATGCTGAACTACTCCAGTTACTTCCGTGGCTGAAGCTGGTATACTTGCCTTTAATTTAAATCCGTCTAGAAATTTTTTATTAACTAAGGCTGCATTAGCTAAACCGGGGCGTTCAAAAATGACGCCGATCTTAAATTTATTCATCCTTAATAATTGCTTAACTCCTTTATTATATTTTTTCAAATTAGTAGCTAAGGACATCATATCCCTATCACCGATTGGCTTATTACTATCTGTACTCTCCATAAATACAATGTATTCAAAGTTTCCACCATCCTCAGGATAGTACCGAACATAATCTGGTATTTGAAATGCCTTATACTTATCCACATCCTCAGGTGCCGATTCCGAGTCAGACCCTA